AGTGCAGGCTTGCAGCTTTAACTTCAGGGCTTGAACAAAACTTTCGGACACCCACTGAGGATTATAGACTGTCATACACACCTCACATCTTCCAGTAGCTAACAGGATCTTCTGATATGAAATTATCATTGTGTTGAGATTTCTTTATCTGATGTCTGGACGGCACTGACACCCCCACAGATGGTGTTTCCTCCTTTGTGGTGCTTTTATTGCAGCTCTCTCCTGTTTTTGTCGTTGTTTTGTCTTCACTGAATGAAAAACAGTTTGATTGGCTGGAGATCCGGTAAATCTCTTTGTCATTGGTCAATATTTTAATTTGACCTGTTCCTTTACCTACAAAAACTCGACAGTACTTTGGGGTCATTAGTGTGGAGTGCAGTCAGCTTGGCTGCATTTGGCTGAATGTGAGCAGCCACCCTCCTAAAAGCAGACACACATTTAAACCCCTAAAAATACTGGAATCATTGATTAATGGTTATTATAATGACATATAATCAAGTTAAGCATCAAAACAGTAAAAACGATATTTTTTTATATCAGACACTAAAATCAACCATCTAAAGTCAGCTATCAGAAGCTAACAGAAGCTAACTCGAGCTGAGGCTACGCGTGTCATTCAGGGCGTCGTGAGGATGATTTAGGGCAAATAAAACTGAAATAAAAGCAGCTGAAATGAGTGAAGTCGGAGAGAGTTTGATGTGGTCTGTTAGCAGCAGACTCAGTGTTTCCACACCGAGCACGCTGAGCCTAAAATAACGAGAGGGGGGACTCGGGCTGGTCCGGGTTCAGGTTTAGGCTGGGGTTACTTCTGGGTCTGCAGCACAGGGTTGGCCCTGTAATCAGCTGACAGCTCTGGTTTCGCCTTCGATCTCTCTGTAATTTTCTTAATTGAAGCCACTTGAGGGGTCGAGCGCTCAGTTCATCCTCCTTTTTTTCCCTTTCTATGTTGCCTGCATCCTGCTTCCTCTGTCCTTTCCTTTATTTGGTCTCCTATTTGGTTTCCTTTCAATATTTCTTTCTCTTTATTTTTCTTCTCTCCCCTGACTTGGTTTCATTTTCTTTCTTTTCCTATTATTTTGATTCTTAAGTGCATTCCTTTCCTATCATTCACTTTCTCCTTTCTATGTTTCTTCAGTATTGCTTTGTTTACTTTTCTGCTCTTCCTTTCCTTTCCTTTCCTTTCCTTTCCTTTCCTTTCCTTTCCTTTCCTTTCCTTTCCTTTCAATAGTCCCTCGGGGTGAGAAAGAGGAGGAGAGTATAAGGCTCAAAATAAAGTGATGATAAATGTTTTTGTTTTGTCGTTTTTGTTTGTTTTCCAATTTAAAAATGAAAATAAAGCTTGGGGGGAAAAAAGTGACGATAAATGTTTAAATTAATGCTCATTTCTTTTTTTTATGTCAGTTGAACCAAAACTTTGTAAATTAAAAAAGAAAAGATAAACTCTCTCGTCTCCTGCATTTGTCTTTTTATTTCTCCACCAGGCTTGTTTTCATTCTCTCGATCATTTTC